CCGTTTTCATGAGACATGGAAAAACAACCACATACCAGAGAGGCTCACTTACATACTGCCTTGCTGTTCTGTCACTTCGTTCTTCCTCCTTTACTAGTTCCTTTGCAAATCCATTGTTAAGTTATTGCATTATTCTGACTTATGAAATTAATGCTGTCTACAAATTGAACATAGGTTAGAACTAACCCCGTCCTATTGGGGTGCTTTGTATTTTTCAATATATACTTATCTGCATTTTAGTGTTCCTAAAAGCTCTGTTGTGTGAAATCACTCAGTTTAGGATGAAAACAACTACATTTCCTAACAAGCCACAGGGCTGCTTAATAAAACATCAAAGGTCTGTTGAAAGGATCATTGTCACTTTCTAAAATCTAGCTGGCTTCTTTTGTTTTTAAACCCTAAGTTGGTTCATAATTCTCATCATTCAAAGAAAAAAAAGTAGTTCAGGAAAGAAATGCAAATTTTCCTATTAAATCTTAATGTGAAATACAGGCCTGGTCTGCAATCATGTGTTGTGTAAAGCAGGGGAGACTTAAGTGGTAGTTTGTTAAAAACAGTATGTCATTACTTATTAGTCTTTCTTCTCATAGAGCAAATGTTCCTGCTGGTTTTGGTTTAAGAACTATTTGTATAACAGAAATGCCCAACACTTAGCACAAAAAGTTTGGGAGCTAAACCGGACGTTTTTCTGCTGTGAGGTAAGGGATGTGTTGTGCCTCTTGTACCAACACATTGCGGAATGAAGGCAATGTTATCAGAATTTCCTCACAGAGTTTGTATAATCTGACTGGACTGAAGTAGGATGCAGAGACAAAGGGTTTTTGACTGTATCTGCTTCATGCAGGGTAATGACACCTGCACTATCTTCAGTTCTAAAAGCTAGTCTTGCAAGAGTAACATTATCTAAGAATAGGGAAAACTTGGCTTATGCAAAATTAATTTCAGCTGGCTTGGGGTAGAGAACATCACCTAGGCAGAGGTTATAACATGTTTAGAAGGAATCCTATCTGAACAAATATGAACTTCTCTTGAGGTGTTTGCTTCAAGCTTCAGCAGCTAGGCAGTGTCTGCAGCCCTGAGGACAAAATCTGTGCGGTCAGTGTTCTCTGTGTTGCACTGGAGACTGTTTCCCCACCAAAGCCATAAGGAAAATCTGAGGATTCTGGGTTTTAAGACTGTCATTGGTGGGTTTTATGTCTTACTGAGTATGAGATCTTTAAACAGACTGCCATCACGGCTTTTTAGGAGAAAATTTTTGTTAGTTTGCAAGTTATTTTAACCTGCATGGAGTTGGCTGACCACGTAACCAGGTAAGGTTTTATTTTCTGACAGTTGCCAAATCCCACTGTTACGTGATAAAGGCAATTAAAACCCAGATCTTTGTCATAAATGGCATCAAAGGATCTATTCCCAAGTATGTTCAGTAAAAAATAGAAAGAAAGCAATAAACCACATCATGAATAGAATAAAACTTCAGTTGATTATGGTCTTTCTATAAGAACATCTTTTTGCTAATGTGGGTAATGAATGTAATTTGAGTCTATGTCTGTGTGGTAAACATACATTTTCATGCATTATTCTCTGTATTGCAAACTCTAACGTAGTTTCTGTTGTCTTTGCAAACATGATTGTAATAATTTCTGTTCAAGATTCACATAGTTCTCATAAAAGGTCAGCTGTCAGCATGAGGTACCAGAATTTTGTTGACAAGACCAGTGTCCAGTGAGTCTGCTCTGGTGTTTCTAGGATGGTCTCACCTCTCATGGAAGGCAGTGATAACTCAGAAATCAGTTCCAATGTTGGGTTATACCTGTGAGCAGTAAGAATAATTCTTCCATTGTCTTCTTCACTAACATTTTCTCGCATGCTTCCGCTCTCCATGAATTTTAACCTTTTCCTGCAACCTCTGGTGCTGCCTCCTAAATCCAGGCTCTTCCCCACCTGTTTCTGAGCACAGCTGCGGGTAGCTCTGACTGCCTGTTGATCTGTGCCCCAACAGGATCTCCATTCACATGGGATTTAGATGCTACCTACTACCTACCTGCAGGAGTTCCTGTGGAGAAGCACGCACGAGCTCTGAGATGGTGGAAAACGGAATTTGCTTTATTGCAAGCAGACACACATATTTATACTTCTTAGCAAACGAGAGACCAGACTATGCAGCCAGGGTTTTTATTAGCTCATGTACTCCTTCAGTGACTCTCTTACCACACAGGGAGAACAGAATTTCCCGGATCTGTTTTGATCATACTCTCCCATTCACTCCCATGCACATCTTGTGTACGAGAAGCCTCTTATCTGTCCATTCTCATGGACAAACTCCTAACATGAGCTATACTCAGGGTCTCTTTTCATAATTAGCAAGCAAGAGTTATGTTTAGAAAAGAGCTCAAGGACGAAAGTCTTAATTCTGCAACGCAGTGCTGCCAGCACAGCTAACTGTAAAAGGTATCCACAGGTTCCTCTGCTGCCAATGGTGCATGTTTTGTGGTTAAGGATTTCCTCCTTGCTGAAAATTTTAAGAAACTGAACAGAATGATCTTTCAGCTATTTTACGTCAGACACAGAAGAGTGTATCACTCTCTTAAACTTTAAGTCCAACTAATATGACAGTTTGTGATCTCATCACCCTTACCAATGCTTAGTCCTGCTCTGGACTCTACGTATTTGATGCTGTGCTCCAAGTGATAAATGAAATAATTGGATTCCCACTTACGGCATGTCACCTTAATAATTATGGATTTCATTGTACTTCCATATATTGAGAGATAAATTTTCCAAGACATTCATCCTGGAAAAGAGAAGACTTTGGGGAGAAGGCTTCCAGCACCTGAAGGGGGCCTATGGGAAAGCTGGGGAGGGACTTTTATAAGGTGTTAGGACAAGGGGCAATGTTTTTAAACTAGAGCAGAGTAGATTTAGATTAGATATTAGGAAGAAGTGCTTTACTGTGAGGGTGGTAAGACACTGGAACAGGCTGTCCAGAGAGGTTGTGGACACCTCCTCCCTGGGAGTGCTCAAGGCCAAGCTGGATGGGACTTTGAGAAACCTGGTCTGGTTGGAGGTGTCCCTGCCAACAGCAGGGGGAGTTGGAACTAGAAGATGTTTAAGGTCCTTTCCAACTCAAGCCATTCTGTGACTCTGTTATTCAAGAATAGGTGATAATGTTTAGCCGAAGGAAATTCTTGTGGCTTTTGATTATTGCGACAGGTGTATTAACTTCTTTAAAGTTAAAAGAAAAAAAAAATCAGAAAATATGGCCAGACGCCAAGTTGATACTTTGAAGTGTTTCTTCTCTTCCCTGAATTCCCAATACCAGAATACATCTTTCAAGGTACAATGTTCTTGTCAGCCTGCATATCATAGCAGTGCACTGCTTTTCTGCAAGAACCCTAGTTACCTGTAGTGCGCTATCAAGACAATAACGGTGCTGTCAGAGACCATTTTGAACACTACTTGTCCTAAATTTCTAATTATATTGTTCATTTTTTCCTCTTATCCTCTTGGTTTTCCATTTTTCAATAAAACGTGGGTTTTTTCCCCTCGATTAAAAAAGAAAAAAAAGAAAAGGCTGTCGGAATAAAGCTGTGTGTCAACTCTGCTACCTGTGCAAGGGAAACTTGCAAACAGAAATCTGGAGCACCTTGACCAACTAAACAATTTAGCTTATTCTCTGAATTTGGCTCTGAGCTGCTGAACTTGGCTCTGTTCCTCTATGCTCCCTATCCCACTAATGTCAGGAACCAGTTGGAAAGCAAGCTGTGTTTGGACTGGTTATTTAGCTAGGCAGTTCAAGAAAGAAGCTAGCAATTGTCATAGTAACTAAATATAATTCACATGTTGGATTTCTTCCTTTTTCTTTCAAGTAACTTGGCCTTATGATATTAAGAGAAACACTGTTTCAAGTACTTAAGAATAAACATAATGGTTCAGTGTTTTATTTTTTTCTATTACAATAAAGGCAGAGAATCACAGTAATTATTTTCCATGTGTGTTTTTATTACTTGGATTTTATATGTTTGTGATAGCAATCTAGCCAGAAGTAATAATCTGTGGTTGATTTGGTTTGTTTCCCGATTTTCAGTAATAGTAAGGTCATAATTGGCAATCTTAAATTGTGTTTCTGCCTTGTATTGATTTATTGTGTGCTTTCCGCCGAATTGACTGTGAAATGAGTGTAACGGATGACTTGCCAAGATGCAGGTCTATATTTTGCTTTTGGTGAGTCTTACCTTTAGTTCTCTGAAGCCCTTCAACTTGTTGATTTTTGCGTTTCCCTTAAAGTAGTCTCACGGAAATGAGTAGAAATATTCCTTCCCCTCCTATACTTATTACTATCAGGATGGTAGTATTAGAAGGTGAATATAGTAATTTAAATGTATTGCAGTAGGAAGCTAATTGCAAAGCCCTTGTGGGAGCATAATAATCAAACATTAGCAAGTAAATAAACAACAACTTGGAAAACATGACATATAAGTAGCCCCCAAGAGAACCTGACAGTCTGCAAGCCATTCTTTAGTGGCTTTCAAACTGTTACTAGATTAAGCTTTTAAAATCAAACTGTGATTGTAATGTCAAAATCACCCACACTTGTTTGTTTTGACTTTCAGGTAGTTTGAAATAAATATACCCAGCTATTTTGTGGCTCAAAACTACAATTATGCCAAGAAGTTGATTCTGCAGCTGCTTGTGAATGCAATCCCTGAAGGCCTGGAGTGTGCCACTGAGCGTTGGCCAGGACACCAGAGTTAAGTAAGCAGGAAAATGACTGGCTTCCTTGACAAAGAAATAAAGAAACCTTTATTTCTTGCATAGTCAAAAGGCAAAGCAGTACATTATAATCTTGACATCTGGTTAACTCAAAGAATCATTTTTCAAAATACCTCATTACTGAGTGGATCTTGTAACTAACAGAAGCGTGCCTTTGGACTTTTGCAAATAAATCATTGGAAGAATTGATTGGGCAAAGCAGTCACTGGAAGAGTGGCTGTTGAAGAATCATGACGAAGCACTTGGAGATCATCAATTTATCCTTTTTGCTGGAACATGAACGGGAAACAATATTGGGAGTATTGAAGAGAGATGAGTATCTGAAAAAAGTTGAAGATAAAAGGATAAGGTAACCTGTTTTATTATTGTCCTTAAAAATGCGGTCTGTAGTATAGATATTTTGTGGTACCCAGTGACGATTGCTTAGGTTAGATATTATTTAGATTGGGATTGTTTGGCCTGGAGAAGAGGAGGCTGAAAGGAGACCTCATTGCTCTCTACCACTACCTGAAAGGAGGTTGTAGTGAGGTGGGTGTTGATCTCTTCTCTCAGGTAACAAGTTCTAGGACAAGAGAAAATGGCCTCAGGTGCACCAGGCGAGGTTTAGATTAGCTACTGGGAAAAATTTGTTTACTGAAAGAGTAGTGAGGCACTGGAACAGGCTGCCTAGGGTAGTGGTGAAGTCACCATCCTTGGTGATGTTCAAAAAAACGTGTAGATGTAGCACTTCAGGATATAGTTTTGTGGTCATGGTGGTGTTGGGTTGATGGTTGGACTAGATGATCTTAGGGGTCTTTTCCAACCTTAATGATTCTATGATTCTATAAGATTTTTCTAGATGCCTCAGGAGAAGGATGAGTATTGGGAGGTGGCACAGCTAATTATAAGTCAAAGTGTGTTAAATAGAAAATTTCCTGCTAGCGCAGCCCTCTGTTGCTTCAGGGCAAGAGAGTAAGAAAGTGGAAAAATATAAAGCAGTGCTATTTAAATTTCAGATTTTGTAGATTTTGCCCAGTTTGGCTGAATTTCCCTGCTATCAATGGAAGACTTTAGTCAGGCTCTTGAAGTTTCTTCTTCGGAGAGGAGCTGTATGCTTTGTTCCTTTGGAGCACAAAAAAGAGAATGTAGGTGGCTGCCTCTGTACAGGAGTCCATACAACGTGGGACACGTGTGAGAACTTTTTTTCTTTCTGTTGCGGTGCTTATAGAATAAGAAGGAGGAGGGACACTTAATTTCTCAAATTACTTAGAATTACTAATAAATAAATAAAACTGAAAAATCTCAGGTATGGATCTCAGAAATCTCTGATAGGACAAATAGAGGCTCAGGGCATTCACAAAGTCCGTGTTCTTTACCAAGGCAAAAAAGGTAAAAATCAAATTTCAGAGAACAATGAGTGAAGGCAGGCTGAGTCAGCTATTTTAGATTACTCAAATTGAGTTAGTTCAGCAAACTATCTGTTGTGCAAAGGTTCCTAAGCTTTTCCAGTATGTTGCTGCTGCTTCCTCTTGCTTCTCCCTGCCACACTTTTAAACATTTATACAGTGCTGGTTCTGAGAAACAGGCTTAGTGTGGCCATATGCCTTTGGTGTTGAGGAGGCTGCCGAGTGTAGTAGATGACAAAGGGAAAATTTCCAGCCTTTCTGGTTTCTGTGAATGTATTCCAAGGCCAGACTGCATTGTTCTTCCCTTTGATTTGCTAAAAAACATTTTGGACATGGTGCATTGCAGAGATGCACGTTCAGCACTTGCTGAGGTTTCTTCTATATAAAACTATTATTTGGAAATCCATGCAGAAGTAGTCCCCGGCTTTGGAAGTCTTTCTACCTCAAGAAAACCAAGTCTAAGTGCAATGTCCCTGTTGGTGTGCAGCCCATTTAACTGGGGAAACGTAGTGGCTTATCTAAATGGAGTGGGCTAAAACTGGTTACTTCTGCTGCTGCAAGACCTGACAGAAAGGTCTTTGTGATGGTGGGGGCAAGTTAATCATTTAATCTCCTTCACAATTTGTCAGATGAAGAAAAAAGCAGAACACAAGAAAACAGATGGAGCACTATTTGTTCCAGGCATTATGCTCTATTTTGTAATAGGATAAGCACTTGAAAATGTTTCCATTTTCTAAGGTGCTGGTTTTGGAAATATGTGACATGCCAGTAGTAATCAATCAGAGGCACCAGTGTGAAGTGCAGCATTGTGTCAGGTCGCTGGCTTCCCAAACTCCCAGAAAGCTTTCTTTTCAACTACTGTTTTTGCCTGATCTCGAGTGGAAAGTTGAAACTCGGGAGTTTTTGTGAAAGTTTACTTGGTTGATTTGGGGTTTTTGTTGTTGGGGTTTTTTGAGTGTGATGTGATGTGATAAACCCCCTGATTTTCTGCCCTTTTTTTAAATTTTCTTTTTTGGCACTATCGAAAGTCACTGTGCCAGACCTACTGAGTTTGAGAACACAAGGCTCCTCTGGAGGATGTGGTTCACTAAAGCTTCAGATGGTATTGGCTTATCTGTGTTTAGGTACAAATGGAAAAAAGCGCACACACCCTAAAGAAAAGGTTGAAAATGAAGTTAATCTGAAATGTGGTGTTAATTAGGGTAACTAACAATGCAGCATGATTCTTATGGATACTTCTAGCACCTGTATATGAACCAGTCGATTTCAGATTGAGTATATTTGGGGAATTGTCAGTAGACTGTACTGTGCCTGATAATGGTGAAATGATAAAAGACTTCAGAGATACACAAATATAAAGAACTGGGTGGGTAATTGCTTCCTAGGAGACTTCATAATTTTTCTTTCTGAATACAGCTTGGCAAGAATAGGTTTAATTATGTCATATAAGTATACTTCAGAAGAACATTTGTTTTCTTTTGAATTCTCTTTGATGCAATCTGTTATATATTCCATTGAAGTACTTTGCAGAAGAACAAGTCCTTTTGTATTTATTTTCATGGCGTTTTTCATTCAGGGAAGATACTTACTAGTACACTCTACTGAAGAATTTTTATTAGTCTGTTCCGCTCTGTCTGAATCTATCTTGATAATTGTTTTCTCTGTTCCTATTATTCCTCAGAAGCCATCACAACTTGAAAGGGTCTTTCTGTTCAACCTGAAAGCAATAGTAAGTGTAGGAAGATGTCCTAATAATTAAATTGTTAAAAGTTATTTTTACTATCACTGCTCATACTTGTGTTCTGGAGTGCAGGTAGCTGTTCTTGTATTTTTGTTTGACATGCAAATACTTCACTTATATGTAAGAGAAACACAGAAGGCAGCAAGTACTCTCTTTATGGTGTAGTTTTGATACTACAAATAAGCAACCTGCCTGATAAATATTAGAGTTTGTGTTCTTAACTTTAAACGTGCATCTTGTGTGACTGGAAATTTTCTTTGAATATTAATTCCAAGCTGCTAGCAGATTATTTGTGCAAATATCCTAGTGTTCTAAACATTGCTCTACAATGCTTTTGATACCAGTCAAATGACTCATGATTGTTTTCAAATGCTAAGATGATTTGGGTGAAGATATGGAATTACATTGAGGTCAAATAGCTAAAAATAGAGACCTCATAATGAGGGTGAAAAACTAGGTGATTAGTTGTGTTTGGTTTTTTTTTTTTTAACGTGTGAGCTGCTGGGAGAAACTTGTATCCAGATAATGGCAGTCAAGACCTTCTGAACTGAATGTTTCAGACTGAAACGTGTCTTTTTCCTTATTTCCCCATCTTTTTACTATCTTCAAATAGTTTTCTTCTTTTAAGACCCTTTTTATGAAAACCCATATCACTTTTAATGTGTAATGTCACATGTAATTAAATCAGTACTAAGTCAAAAGAATGCATTTGATGAGGGGGATGTACCATGTACTAGGTGTGTTAAATCTAACTATTATTCCCGTTCGGTCCCCATGTGTTGCCTGATCTAGTCGAGAGGTGGCGTCCCTGGCGGCAGGGAGGCTGGATTAAAATGATCTCTAAGGTCCTTTCCAGCTTAGGCCAGTCTATGATATTCTATGATATTATTTGTTTGCTTCTGTTCCAACAGCAGCCCCACTGCATCCTTCTCAGCTGTGGTGTTACACAGGGAACTGGCTCTGACGGTCATAGCATTTTGCATTTGGAGCTAGCTCTTCATCTCAATATTATTATGCTACTACAGAGCAGATACATGTGATACACTTACTGCTAATGTATATTGCTTTCTTACCCTGACTGTTTTCCTAGGCAGCGTTTAAAATGCAAAGGTTCTTTTAATTCTTTATGAAGCAAAGCTGTGAATACCATGCTTTTAGAAGAGGAGATACCAATGTAATAATTGCTAAACTGACAATACAAAGAAGGAGTGTGCCAATTTCTTGCAAGGATAAGGCTGAATCATTCCCTCAGCACTTAGCTTGCCAGAAGCTGTGTAAGGATTGCACCAGACCCAGATCTGTGTTGACAAGGAGGGCTGACATTCTTGCATTTTCAGTTAACAAAAACGGCATCTCCTTATCAGTTCAAAGAGATCAACAAAAGCAATTTAGGGTCTTAATTTCATTATAGTATAGGAGAAACTCTTAGCATGGATACCACCATGTGGTAACTACAGGCAAGTACTTCAGGAAAAAAAAGAGTTCTAGTAAGAGGGACGGGAACTGATTTATCTGCTGAGTATAAATTTGGACTTGTTTATAAGCATGGAATGACTGTGAGATAGTCTGTAGTCTCGTGTATGGTATCTGTTTTTGCAAAACTACCTATAAATATTTGAAGGAAAGAGTCCTTATGATAAAGCATATTGCTCATCCATACATGTATGGGAAATTCAGAGGCTACTTGTCTGGCAGTTATCTCATTTGTCAAGTGAATTTAAGACATTGTTGTTCTTTGAACCAGATGCTTTTCCCATCAAAACTAGTTACTATTGCCGGTACTCAAAGGATAGAGACGTTTGTTTTGCTCTCCAATGTTCTTTGAGAGTGGAGATCCTCCATTGGTGAAAGAATGGTGATTACTTCTTATACCCTGAGTACAAGTTATTTTATCAAAGACTACTAAAAACCCAAGCAATTAGCATTTTGGGAGGGGGGAAGTGTTTTGTTTTTTTTTTTTAAATCTTAATAACAGTCTTTAGATGAGGGAGTTCCTCAGAAAAAGGCTTATCTGTGGAGGTTTGTCATCATTGTAGAATCCAATATCATTTCAGTTCCCAGGTCTCCTTTCCTTCTGTTCACCGGGCTCTGTTCTGCCATTTGTTATGCTGGTTCTCTTTTCTTTGCCTTTTCCCTCCTTTAATTTTTCATACAGTTTTTATTGTGAGGATCTGTTATATAAGTGAAATGTGAAAATCTGTGCTTATAAAATAAGAGCCTAAA